TCTTGGCTGATTGATGCCTTGCCATACCTTTTTTTCAAAGGCTCAACCTGTTGCAAAAGCATGCAGGTACCTTTTTGCCAAAGGTTCTGTGACTGGCTGCCTGTTTTGAAAGAGGATGTCTTTTTTCCAAAGACTGTACCATATATCATTTTTTCCAATGGCTGTTGGCTGCATACTTCCTGCCATCAAAGGATATATAGCACACCCTTTTGTTTTCCAAATGTTTGTTTTTTCACAGGCAGTTTGCCACAACCTTTTTTTCAAAGGCTGCAGGCAACATTTTTTTTGCAAAGGCTGCAGGCAACCTTTTTTGCAAAGGTTGTGGCCTACCTTTCCCACATTTGCTACCTTTTTTCCAAAGGTTTTATTTTGGTTGGAATCTTCCCCAATCCTTTTTTCCAAAGGAGCCACCTTTCTTCCAAAGGTTGCCATTTTTGCACAAGTTTTAATCTATTGCTTGCTTGACCAGTTTGGACCTTAATTCCAAAGCTTCTGCTTTGGTGCTGCCTTTTTCAATGGCTTTCTTGGGCTTTCCAATCACACCCTTATAATCTTTGGTCCACTTTGCTGGGACCTCCACAATCAACATCCTTTGGGTGCTGCCTTTCTGGCACCCTGTGATATAACTTCTTTCTGGGTAGGTAGCATTGCACACACTCAAATTTGTCCATGTCTGGTGAGGGTCTATGTTGCTTGCCTGCCTTTTTTTCAAAGGCTTGCCTTTTTTGCTTGAAGCCTCTTTTTTCAAGGGCTTGTCTTTCTTGCTTGCTGGCCTTTTCATGGTTTTGCTTCCATACCCCATCTTTCTTTTCAAAGAATCACTTTTGCCACCACTGCTTTCACTGTCCTTTGCTTCTTTCTCTTTCCTTTTTTCCAAAGGGTTTGCTTTGCACATTGCTCCAGGCCTTTTCCATTTGGTGTCAGAAGGTTTGTGCACAATGGCTGTACTCTTTTCTTTTTTGGGTGATTTTTTGTCAGGTGTTGCAAACATGTTTGGCATGCCATCACTGTCTAGAGATGCCCCACTCAAGTTTGGCTTCAGTACTCTCCCTTTTTTCAAGGGTTCATCAGGCTCATCCTTAAGAACCACTTGGGAAAACACAGCTTCTAGCTCCTGGTACTCAGTGCTTGTCAGCTTGGCTGTGCACAGCCTTTGTTGTTCTATGTCTCTAGCTACTTTTCTGCAATGAGCCAGAAGAACTGTGATTCTCTCAGCTTTGATGTTTGCCCAAGTTGCTCCATTGAATTTTGATGTGTTTACTGACACATTGTGTGTCAGCAGGTGTGTGAGGCTTGTTCGAAGAGCTTGTGAAGAAACTTCACAAGTTGGTGTAGCCTCAATGAAATCCTGCAGGAGGCCTTTGCACTTGAGCAACCCCTTTGGATTTACTGCAGCTGTTTTTGAAATTGTCTCATACAGGCCCAGGTTCTTGACTGTTTCTGAATTGTTCTTCAGAATTTTCAGTAATATGCCCAAGTCTATTGCAGGCTTAGCAAAGTGTTTGGGGCCTCCCTTGGGCATTTCCCTTTTTCCAAGGGATGGTGCTTAACAATGTTAGCTGGTTTTCTCCCTCCTTTTTTCCAAAGGTTACCAAGATGCCCTTTTCTAAAAGCTGCAACAGCACAGGTGCCAAGGGGATGGCTTTGAACCAAAAACTGCAAACAAACAGTGTACATGCAGCACACTGCCAAATCTGAGTAGCTGATCCTTGAGGAAACACAAAATCATCCATTTTAGCAGAAAAGTTGGTCAACCAAAAAATATGAAAAAATCCAACAGAAAATCAATATTGAAATCAATATCAAAATCAATATCCAAATCAATATTTTCACCGAAGAAATCAATATCCAAAATATTGATATTATCAATATTTTTTGAAAAATCAATATCAATATTTTTTCATAGGAAAATATTGATTGAAATCAATATCGGATGCTCAGATTGATGTGTGCCGAACCTTCAAGCTTGATGACAAAGAGGTATAGAGAGATCATGGATACATCGTTTCATCTGGAATTGATCACAGAGGATGATGACCTTCTCTCCAGATATGGGAGTGCGAAGTGGAGGAGATGCCTCCGCAGCAACAAGGACTGCGTCTTCTTCGCTGGACCGTGCACGGGCGGATCACCGTGGAACAGGCTGAACAAAAGGCTTAGTATTGCTACAGCTCACTTGATTCATGCCAAAGCACGTCTATACTGGAAGTTATGGGAAGAGTTTCTAAATTGTCTGTTGAGAGTGATCAAGTTGGATGCCATGGCCTTATTGGAATTGCCTAGAGGTTGTGACTACTGGCATGATGAAAGGATGAGGTGTATGATCGATGGCACTGACTCACACATTCATGACTTCGACGGATGCATGTATGGTCTTACAACACAGTTTGGTGGTCATCGCATTCCAATCAAGAAGCCATGGAGGATCGTATCATGGGGGGTCAAGTTTGATTTGCACAAGAAGTGTGATCGGAGACAATGATCATGGGAAATGTGAAGGTCGAGAAACGAAAGTTACACAGACCTACACCAAACAGATCGTCGACATCATCCTCAAAACAGTATGTCGACATGTGACATACGTCTATCCGGTTCAAGAAGTCGTTGTCAGATGCGGATGACACGTGCAGCAGTTGCAAGCATGACAGACGTTCAGCAAAGAAGACAGCGGTTTCAATTGCCTATGATATTGATGAGATAGCAGCTGATCTTATGTGGTTAATGATGTTTCACATGAGAGGATGTCGAGTCGATGCACACTTTGATTTCTCAGGATCAATGGACCACGACTTTTGCGACTTCACTTTCGTCGCGCGCCACCGAGCTGGTGATCGGAAACCTGAACGTGGACCCACGCCAGGGAGTACGTGACCCCAGGGCGATCGGAAAGCCGGAGGTTGAGCGACCCCGCGGCGAGTACGTGACCCCATCGGTCAGGTTGCCATGTCGAACTATACGCCGATCATTGGGCCAGCGTCGAATGACCTCAACGACATCCGCTCCATTCTCGTCACACTACGAGACAACGGGAAACATGGAGTTATTCCCGCCATGTACAAGGAGTACGACCCGACGGTCAGCAGCTTGCCGGACAATACGGACGACAGGTGGCATGCGATCGGGCTTGTCGGCATCAGCATGCTTCCTGGGCAAGATTCCATCGAATCGATCCGAAGTGAATGCCATCACGTTGTTCCTTCAGGTCTTAGAATTGATTAAGAACTTGCATCTCGGAACAATCACAAAGTTCTTGGATTTTGCACCATTGAATGCATCAACAGTTTGGGAAACATGTGGGAGTACATCAAGAACTTCCATGTACCTCATCCCATCCGAAATGACGCAGCATTCACTGTGTCGATGCTACGTGATCACCTTCGAGAATTCAAGCTTCGACCTTATGGAGGTGACTTGCGAGGTGTGAACCAATCAGTCCTGCAACGAGGAAGAAGGACGGGGTTCTCAACCCGTCGGATCCCGATGCGCCCATCACCATCTCGTTCAGGGCGATTCATCGAGAGCTCCACTACTTTGACATGGACACAACCTGGCAATCGAAAGGAACCCAGGACATGTTCAATGCGGCTCTTGATGAATGGCAGCGCCAAGTGATCCATTTGGGGCATGCATGGAGATGCTACAACCAAAAGGTGGATGATGAAGGTGAATGTCTAGAACCCATGACATTAGAAACAACGATCAATGACCTCATCGAGCAGAACACCAAGTTGGGTCGCGAGCGAGCCGCTGCAGTGAACCACTTCACCTGCATCATGGCTCTGGCTCCTGCGATCTTCAGATGGAAGAAGAAGCTACAGAAGTTCTGGAGCTACTCCGCACAGGCCAGGGATAACCTGTCCAAACTCGACGGGTACGTTGCACGAGTTCAACAATCTTTGTTACTCACGCCTGAGATCCTGGAGAATCACGGCTACAACGTCATCAACGTGGAGGAAGGCAACCACGAGGAGATCAAGAAGCGCAACAAATGCTTCTCTGCTTTGAGGGAGTTCATGACAACCCTCACAGAAACCCAAGCTGGAGGGGGACAGTCGGGCACCCAAGTTGCTGCAAGTGGATGGAAGAAGGTGTTGAAGTTTGGTGACAATGTTTGGCCACCGGAGCCCCCCGAGTGGATCACGATTTCAGACCCAACAGTGCCAGCACCAAGGGTCAACAGGTTTGGTCCTAGACCACCTCCTGGGCCACCACCAGGGTATAAGGCTCCACCACAGCCTTATCCCTCGGCACAACCACCACCGAAGGCAAGACCGACTTCTCCTACGGCACCACCTCAACAATCAAGGGCAGCGGGGTCACAGTCATCAAGTTCAGCTGTGCCTCCACCACAAGCTGCACCCAAGCCGGCGGCAAAGGCTATGCCGACGAGACGTGACATGCCTGAGACTGAGTATGTCCCTCCACAGAAGCCATTGAATGTGGCTACCTACTGCAAGGTATGGACGGACTACACGGGCACGTCGGTGAGATCTATCCTGAATGTTCATGTGGACTCTCAAAACGAGTTTGCTCCGTCACACGTTCAGGGACCAATGGCAAACAATGCTCAATCAACGTGGCGTCAATATCTCAGAAGAGTGGCCACGTACACCTGCCTATGTTTTGGACTCGCAAATGCCAGAGAGGTAGCAGAGACATCCTACCCCTTCAGCGATATGGAGTGGCTGAGGATTTACAACGCAGCCGTGAAGCGTGGGGGGATGGTGCATCAGAACTACTACCTGTCAGTTGGGTCCATGACAGTCATGATCAATATGAACGATGATGTGCAGGCCACCGATCGCGACTATGCAAAGTGGAAGCGTGGCCTGATGTCAGGCATCGGTGGGACCATTGTGGAAAGGCCATTGGTGCGCAAGGAGAAGGATGAGCTGGCAGGGAAATTCAGATATGGCAAGACCATCTTGATCACTGACCTCGTCTACAAGTGCAACTCAAACGCAAGAGGAACGACCAACATTCAGTATGGGCTCGATGAGATGGGCTATGCCGCTACGGTCATCGACATCAACAGCTTCAGGAGCGTGACCAGAGCCCAGAAGTTCCTCGATGCAGTCGAACACTTGAAGAGGAATGTGATGCCAGACATCGCGTCAGAGGAGAATGTGACAATTCATTTTTGGATTTCGTTTGCATTCCTCATCACAGACTCTCATCCATACCATGTGTGGGTTGAGGGAAACTTTGCCGAGAGACTGGCTGAATCAATCCGAAGCGTTGACAAGATGGCAACAAGACCGATCTTTGTGTCACTTTGCAAGGATTCCAGATTTCATGGAATTCGGTCTGGCATCCAGGACGTCGCAATTGATTCGGCAGACATCTTGAGAAGCTACGGCATCATGGTTACCACAGATGATGGGATGTGGCGACTGATATATGGCCATGCCGGCAACCACTACATGAATAACCACAACATGCCAGACCGATTGGGAGTCTTCGCCACTATGGAAAAGTTCTTGTTCAGGCAAAGGGTACTATTGATGTCCTCCCTGAATGTTGAAGCCACAAAAGGATTGAACGACTTGGTGAAAGAATCTTCCATGAAGGTCGGCATTAACCTGGAGCTGATGGAGAAGGTGCTCAAAGAACCTTCGACGATTCAGATCGGAGCTGGAGGCGGAGTACCAGATACTGCGAGCGCTGGATCCGATTGCCCAGGCACAGTTGGAGGTGGAAGAAGAGTGAATGTGGGATACGAGAAGGCGCCATGGATTGAGGCAACGGTGAGATCAGTTCTACCAGAATCCTCAGCCAACATGTACGACATGTGGTTCTATGTCAACCATGGGCGTGATGAGATGATTCTATGCCAACAACATTACAACGGGCGTGATGATGAAGTGATGCCACACGACTTCATGAATCAGAATCTTGGATGTGGAAAAGAATGCATTGCCTGTCGTGCCAGTGAGATGGCCAGAGAGTACAACCTTTGGCCACCAGAGTACCAACGAAAGACGATCATCAAGACGGCGGCAAGAATCCGAGCATTCTTCAATATCATGACTGATGAGGGCACTGTGATCATGGACCCTCAAAAGGATTTCGTTCAGTTCCTCAAGGACATCACCAAAGCAATGGTGGGCAACAAGGGATGCGAACATGGTGAGATCCTCATGAAGGCGTTGTCGCACTTCGGAACTGTCAGAGTTCCCAGGGATCGCGTGAAGCAGATCTTCGCCGGAAAGCGTGGAAGGCAATACATTGTCATCCGGGAAGAGTTCATGCTGGACGATGGCAGGGAAACCCATCAACGGTTTGCCTATCGCGTATCCAAAGACTATGGGAATGTGTTCTACAAGGACTACCTCAAGATGGTGCTCGGGAATGACTTCACTGATGTCATGGGCTATCTCGACGTTGCAGCTCAGAAGTGCGGCGACGTGGTCGAGATGTGGCTTGGCATGCTTGACCTAGCCAACATGACGAAGTCGCAGATCACGTTCATGGAGACGAAAGCTGATCCAGGTGAGCTACTTGCAGGCCTGGAGGCGTCGCTCAACATCTTCCATGGGACAACAAGATCAACCACAACCCCCACCACCAAGAGAGGTGGATCAAGGATAACAGAACCCATGAACCACGAAGAGGCTGTTGTGAACTCGATCCTACGCGACATCCCAATGTATCACAGCCTGCAAAATGCTTGTTTGATTGAGGACAAAGAGATCAGCGTCATCAATGAGAACTACAAGAGATCTATGGCCGATGAAATCAACGATGACGACATGGAACGCGAAGGTCACGGGACCGGGGAGGGTAGATCTACCACCCAGGAACCAACGACCGGAGACGCGGAAGCAAGTGCTGAAGGAGCAGGTAGATCTACTGCTCCGGACATGCACGACGCGACCAGGTCTCCATCAAACCCTGAAGAAGAGTTCCAGATCTCCCAAGATAAGGGAGCAATCATCGAGGCCATCGACGCGCTCTTTGCCATGGCTGACGACAACAACGTCTGCCTGAAGTGTGGTGAGAGTGGGCATCCCAATTATGAATGCCCGACGAAAGGTGACGATCAAGTCAAGTCAGCATTGATCAACCTGAGGAGGAAACTACAGGGTGATGATGTCGAAGACAAGGATATGTCCAAAGAAGGCGATGATGAAGAAGAGGATCGTTTCCGCCAAGAGAACTACAAGGCCACCAGGGAAGGAGAGTACATGTACCTCCAATCCATCCCATTGTCAGTGATTGGTGATCGAGCATATGGTGAGAAGAGTATCAACGGAGTGAGAGCCGTTGAGAAGGGCCCTATGACGAAGACTGAGCTGAACAAGATCGTTGATGCGGCCAGCCAGAAGGGCATCACCCTCACCTGCAAGGAAATGAAATCGGCGATGTTGTACTCGGAAATGTTGAAACTCAAGATTGGAACCGACATTGGGAAACTCAAAGTTCTACCGGTCAACGGCGGCAAGTTCTACTCCAACAGCTATGCTGGGCATGGAATTGAATACCCATTGCCGACCGAATCCAATGCTAACCGAGTTTACCTGGAAAACTGGGAGAACAACTACAGCTACTATTTCAACAAAGCCTTGCGACACCACATTGGACGAAGGGACGTGTGGGAGAAGACTTTTGGCGGAAAGAAGACGACGTTCGATGGACTTAAATGTGACGTGCTACAGCGAGCACAGTCCTACGCGTCTCAAAGGCCATGCTGAATGAAATCGACGTCGAGGACAACATTCCGTTCTATGGCCAGTTCGTCAAAGACATTGAAAAGCTTGAGAAGGCCAATGGAGTGTTGAATCCCGGTAGCGAGCTGAGGAACAGCATTGTGACGTTCATCTCCGAGAACTACACTCCGAGAGAAGCTGGACATTTAATCTGTCCTGCCTGTCTTACTGAGACTCCGAACATTCTGTCTATCTGCGTCAGATGCCGTGGTTCATTGGTTAGCTGGGGAGAGAAGTCAGCTAAACAAGATGAGAGCACCGCCCCAGGCATGCCAGAACGTGAACGCCAAGAAAGCGGAGATGGCGATGATGACAACGACGATGACGTCGAGATGGAGAATGAGGATCAAGACGAAATTGACCGATTGGTCAGGGAGTCCAAGAGAACAACCGGAGATGAATCTGATGATGACGTTGACATGCCGGACGCGAAGCCGAGCAGACCACAGACCAGATCTGGAAGCGGGCGAGAGCGCACTGCCCCAGACCCTAAGGTGGCATTCGGCAGCAACACCAAGGAACAGCAGGAAGAAGAGGACGAAAGAGTCGCTCAAGAACAAGAACATGACGAAGAGCAGAGGGAAGCCAGAATCAAACTGCCATTATGGACATCAAGAACGATTCAGGCATCTATCATCCACTGTATCGACATTGCTCAGAACGAGGATGCAATCGACAGCACTGCAAGAGCGGTCGACGGGATGATCCTCACATACCTGAAGGATCGATACAAGCTCTACAACGTCTGGACATCGATGGCAACTGCACAACAGTACTATGACCACGTGAGGAGGATTAAACTTCTTCCGGGTACATCCCCTATGTTGGTGAAGATGCCAACGGTGAGCTGAAGGAGCCCACGGAGGAACAACTTAAGGAATCGTTCCACGCCAATGCCAAGAACGGTAAAGTTGGTGGAAGGGATCTGGAGGTCTACTTGAAAGGGGTGAAGGGCATCAAAGTCCTATGCAGAATCATGAAGTACCTCGTCCAGACCGGAGTGACACCACAGCTTGTTTACTCCAAGGTCGCAGATGTCACCGATGATGATGAAGAACGTCAACAGGAGATACGACGGGAGGCATCGGACTTCATTCCCAATAGATTGTTTTAGGTTATTTTCTAACTATTCTCTTCATTTTGATGAATTAACCTATTTCTTAGAAATAGGTTATTGCGTTTTGCCGAAATCTCTTTGGCGATTCTGTCGATTATCTTGTTTTTTTCGGCACATTTTCAGCATCCATGAAAACACAAAATCTCTAGTTTTTTGGCCCTATGTTTTAAACTAATAGTTAATTTTTTTAAACTATTTCGGCAAATATAATGTCCGGACGTCAGCGAAACACCGTAGAAACTACGACGTGGTTTCTATCAAACTACGACCCTGAATTTACAAAACTAATGCCAAAGTACGACCCTAATTTTTGAAGAATTTTTGAAAAGTACGACCAAAGTACGGCACCTCTTTTGGATGGAAATGATGGCAAGATAAAACCAACGTGTTCGAAGTTTGGTAGTAGTTTGGTAGTAGTTTGGTAGTAGTTTGGTAGTAGTTTGGTAGTAGTTTGCTACCGCAAAACGAAAAAAAGATTAAACAAATAGTTTATTTCCTAAGGAAATAGTCTAAAAGAATAAACTATTTTTCGTCTATTTTTGGGTACATGTTGAAGAGATAAAATTAACTATTTCGGCAAATCAAAAAAGACAAAAATTAACTATTTCGGCAAATTGATTAAACTATTTTCTCTTATTCAAACAATATATTTTGAGAGGAAGTAAAATAGACTATTTCCTTAGGAAATAGGTTCAAACCCACGAAATAGGTTATAGACCATTTTTGGTCGAAGACAATCTATTGGGTTCGAAAGATTATCTCAGGTACCTTCGCTGTCCGATCCTACGATTATTTTAGGGTCAATCCACCACAACGAGATGATCACATTCACATCGACCCGGTGGAATTGGCATGCGCAGTGACAGAAAGATCGAGAACATTCACTGTCCTCCTGACGCTCAACAAGGTTGGCCTAGCTCTACCACAACAACTCCAGAAGGTGTGGGAGGGAAAGCTCAAGGCAGTCACCCAGAGCGCCGCGCAAATGGAAGTGAGTTTCAGATCACTCGACCCCTCCGAGCGTGAAAATGCACGAGAGTATGTTCGAGCAGTCGCTGATGCACAAACCACGGAAGAAGGAGCTACGTCTAGCACGAAGGACTCCAACAAGAAGAAGAAACGACGCAAAGAGTGAAGAGTGCATGGTCTTTGTCATGGAAGAGCACGCATGAGAGGACTCTGAGCGCCGGGCTAATTAAAATAGAGCCTACGCACCAGGGGTACGAAGTCTTCCCGATGCGATGGCACAAATTTTCAATGGTATAAACTAGGGTAGGATGCCCTAGCCTAGTAGTACGGCATAATTCATAAGGTGCGTGGAAAGCCGGAGGTTGAGCGACCCCGGCGAGCACACAATCCACCAATCACAGAGCCGTGCAATACATAGCGTTGAGAGCACAATTTACGAGTGAGTGAGTACAGATTTTAAACCTGACGTCTGCTCCTGTGCCCGACACCTGGTCGTAGGTTGAGCGACCGCGATCAGGAATGTCGGGCATGGGGGGTGTGAATCAGATGTAGGCGACAGGCATACAGGTTCAACACTCACGCACAATGCATTAATTCATGCCAGCGATCATAAACTGCTACGCTGGCTCAAGCCGGCCCTGAAGCTGGCTTAAGGGACGACCGCTCCATCGCTGCATGGAAAAGAAGCGTTGCTTGCCGCGGCTTCATTAAGGACTTTGGGAACGCATAGAGCCCCGACAAGACCAATTACAAGTTGACGGGTGGTACGGTAAACCATTCACAAATACATATAGATAGATAGATAGATCGATCGATCGATCGATCGATATAGTGTATTTTTTCAGGGGGTCAAATCTGCCTGTGTTCGTGGTGTTTTTGTTTTTGTGTTTAATGCGGACAGAGGCATAAGGGCGTTCCTGTAAGGGTCCCTCGAATTCCTTACAGGTTTCTGCATGTTGAGGGATTTAAGGTGATCAGACAGTGATTAGCTCCTACAAATGTGATGTGTCACATAGGGACTATATGGAAATTCATGGAAATACATCGAAATATGTGGAAATACATGGAAGATTCATGGAAAATTCATGGACATATGAGGAAAATTATGGAAACAGAGGAAACTATGGGTATTGCTCAAACATTGCGTACCATTAGGCCCGCAGAGTTTTGCACATCTATTTTCCATTATTTTCCTAGTCCACATCATCCAAGGTTGAGGCATGTTGAGTCTCTCAGGCGCCGACCGAGGTGTCAGGGATCTGGTAACCCTGTGCTTCGAGATGGTTGGAAGGCCTGTCGTATGGAGAGGTGAGGGATTGCAAAAGGAGGGAGCCTTGGCAGCATGGATGTTGACCAACGTTTTTCTGTCTGGAGAGCATACGTATCCTCAAAACATTGGATTTCATTAGTAAATACGGGTTTCGACTAGCAAAAGTTGGATGTTGACCAGCAAAACCGGAGTTGAACCCACAAATGGGGGATTTGAAGCACCTAAAAAAACAGATTTGAGTGTGAAAACGCACTGGTGAATGGTTGGATTTTTCATGTGTTTGTTTTCATGTGTTTAACCATTTTAATGGTGGATTATGTCATGTTATGTCCCACTGAAAATTAACCGCTTTCTTGGGGCAATAGCGGGAGAAGCAAGCAAAAAGGCTGGTGTGCAGAAGTTAGCGGAATGTTGGGGATTGCCAACAGAGTATGGATAGAATCCCAAATAAAGTTGACGGTGTATTCTATGCCAGGATGGGGAAAGAACTAGTTTGGGAATCCCTCCATTGTCCCTCCATGCTCCAGACGTACCCATGAAACAAAGGATTTCAAACGAGACAAGAAAGAGCAACTTCTGGAGCTTCTTGTGAACTTTAATGTTTTTCCTAAACAAATTCGAACACCACTCACATAACATGCTAATTAATTCCCCTCATTCTTTGGAGTTTCCACAACTCAAATAGGTCAGCAGATGGTGGATATGCACGATTCTGCAGATCTCCATCCACTTCCAAAGTTTTGTCAACGGGGTCCCAAACCGCATATAAGTTGGACGCTATTTTTGTTGAAATATCCACCGCCCAGTCGTTGGTGGCCTTCCCCTTTTTACATGGAAAGGGATCATTTATCCCTTTCGTTTCACCCTGATAGCTTGCTGCCTTGCTGTTCACATGTTCACCCCGATACCTGCTCAAAGTTTTGCCAGAATGGTCGTGATGTTGGACTGTTTATAGAGAAAAAGTACTTAACCATTTCGTGCTGTTGAATTTCGCTCATTGCTTCCCCCTTTTTGTCCACTGATGAATTTCCCAACACCCAAGGTGTGGATGAGAAGACAGGTGATGTGCTGGTGCAGGTGAGTGAGAAGTATTTCCGCCCAACCGAGGCCTGCTGCTTGGTGCCTCTATGTGCCTCTGTATTTTGTGTATATTGATGTAGAGCGTATGATACGTGTGTACTATATTTAGATAGATGGATAGATAGATGGATGGATTGATAGATAGATAGTTATGTGCATATATATATATATATATTGTATGTGAAAGCAGCTCGTTTCCATCTATGTCCATACATGACACTTCCTCCTTTTCCAGCAGGGTTCCAGAGAAGCCACGCTGCAGGGTGTTGCAGGCCGTGGGCTCAAATAGCCCCTTTTGCAAGGACGTGAGGTGGGTGGGAAATACGCCTTGGAGCCATAAGTTTCTGGCCTGGCTGCGTTCAGCCTTAGCTTAGCAAGAGGACTTGCTACTTGGTGCATCGAGATCCAAAAGGCTGCGCGTCCGCAGCATTCAGTTGGTGGAGGGGCATTCACCTGTGACTGTGGCAGTCAGAACCGCTAACCAATCACATTGGTAGCGGAGCCCCAGCAAATAGCTGGGGCATCCGGGTACCTTTGGCAAACCTGGCTTTGCTGTGAACCTTTCAGCAGGGAGGTGCAATGGCGTCAGCAAGTGATGGCACTGAATCGACGCAGAACATCTCCAGTCAGTTAGCTTACCTGGTCCCCACCTTCGACCCGAGTAAGGATGACCTTCAGGTGTATCAACAGAAAGTGCAGTTGGTGCATGCCGTTTGGCCAAAGAACAAGGTGTCTGAGTTAATTACAAGATTAATCTTAAATACCACAGGTTCTGCCTTCGCCAAGCTGCAGCTTCACCATGAGGAGTTGTGTGTCAATGACGAGAAGGGCGTGAAGAAGTTGATTGAGTTGCTGGGGGGCCATTGGGGCAGGCTGGGATTAGAGAAAAAGTACTCTGATGCCAAACGTGCATTGTTCCAGTGTAACCAGCAAGCCGATGAAAGCCACGATTCGTATCTTGCAATCATTTTGTGGACGAAGTTGCAATCGCAAAAGCTCAAATTGGAAGATTTGCAGGCATACATCACCTTGAGAGGTGCTCTTCTGACAAGCGATGACAAAAAACGGGTGATTTTGGAAAGTGATTCATCGTTGGAAGGACGTTTGACTGTACCGCGAGTGCAGGAAGCCATCCGTCTCCTGGGAACGTCGTTTTTCCAAGAAATGACAGGTTTGAGCAAGAAAGCTGTGAAAACCAAAGTATATGATCATGCCAACATTGCAATGGATGACACAGAAAATCAACCTGATGCCGATGATTTCACTTACGTATCACAACATGATGAAATGCCAGAGGATGAAATGATTGAGACGCTTGTGGCTGAGGGAGATGAAGATGCTTGCTTTGTGGCCGATTTTGAGCAGGCCGCCTCATAACTGGTTCAGAACGATCCGGAGTTGGCAGCCGCTTACTCCACCTATGTTGAAGCTCGCAAGAAACTCAGTGAAAAGGTGAAAGCGAGAGGTTTCTGGCCTATCAAGGGTCAGGGTCGTGGCAAGGGCTTCAGAGGCAAGTTCAAATCAAAGACTAACTGGTCGAGCCGTAAAAGCTTGCAACAGAGAATCATGGAGACAAGTTGCCGTTTGTGTGGAAAAAAGGGGCATTGGAAGAACGATTGTCCAATGCGTCAGTCTTCTGCCTCCAGTGCCAGTCAGAGTGCTCCAGTGACGTTATCTGTGGCAGCCGCCGACCAATCACATGAAGATGTCATGCCCATGGAGTTCATGATGCTCCCTGAGATCACCGAGACACCAGCTCAGGACTGCCGACCTGTTTCATCCGAATGTTTTGTACAGACAGTTTTTTTCCAGGATCGCCGTCAAACATCCGTAGTTCCAACTCAGTCTGCATCCTTAATGGGGGTAAGGGATAGGATTAGGACCTATATTAAGGGTAATAAAGAGAATAATTCTAAAGTCGCCTCCCTGGTAAGCAGGATTGAGTCCAGAATGCGCCGAAGTGAGCCTGATCCGACAAAGCCAAGAACAGAGTCCAATGCGTTCCAAGGAAACAACCGATTTCCAAAGCCAAGCACAACAGTTGCTTGGCATCCGAAGCCAAGTGTACAGTTTGCATCCGAGATTTCTCCAAGCAGTTGCACAGCTGAGGCCATGTTTTCCACTCATGACACATGGGGAATTATAGACACAGGTGCCACGAAAACGGTCATAGGCAGTTCGCATGTTGCAGACTTGTTGAAAAGCTTGGACCCCTCTGTCAAGGATCAAGTCAAAAGATGCAAATGTGATGTTGTTTTTCGATTTGGAAACCAGGGTACTTTGAAATCTGAACATGCAATCATGATTCCTTTGTTTGGCCTCGGTTTGAAAATTGCCATAGTGCCAGGAACAACACCGTTCCTCCTGTCCAATACGTTGCTGCGTGCATTAGGTGCAAGCATTGACACCGGCGACAACGTGCTGAAGTTCCCAAAGCATCAGATCACCGTCCCATTGAAGTTGTCTCCAAAGGGTCTTTATCTGGTAGATATGAATCAGCTAATCAAAGCCGGAAGTCAAGTCCAGCGTAGTTCAGGTTTTGCCGAGACTTTTGCACAAGAATCTGAAGCTCAGAGTGAAAAATTCCAGGATGAACCGCCAGCACCTGAAGATTCTTCAGGTAAAGCCGAGGCGTTTGAACCAGAACCAGCACAGATGCATAGGATGTTTCATGAAAAACACCAACATGTCAATCACATACACAATGATCACCATGTCACACTCCACGGAAAAGAAGTCAATCACAATTCTCAGACCGAAAGCTTTCACAATCATGACATCGCCACTAACACCGAAGCCTCGTGTCAGTGTCCAAAGATTCCGATCGTTCCCAAGCCGATTTCTCCGAGTTGCCACCATGAGCGACTGGACTCAGAGATTGGCCAAAGTGCAAGCCTCTCTGCCGCAGGAGACTCCCGAGGAGATCGACCACTTGTCCATCGAGGAGCTGAAGTTGGAGGTCATGACATTCGGAAAGGCCCATCTGGGTCGAACGTACGAGGATGTATGGAACTCCAGTCCAGAGTGGACACAGTGGTTCCTGCAGCACTACCAAAAGAGTCCCAAGCTTGCACACCGAAAGATGATTCGGTACATCAAGCTCAAGATCGAAGCCATGGAGGAGAACCCCACGCCGGGACGTCAATCACCGGTGTTGCCAAAAAGCCATGCAGCACCCAAGACCATGCCCTTGCGTCCGAAGGCAAAGGCTCAGCCAAGCACCATGATGTCTCCGGAAGGGACGGAACTGCCACCGGAAGAACCGTGGGTGGCCTCCGAAAATGCACAGATCTCAAGCTTGCAGGAACGCATGGGTCTCATGGAGAACGCCTTGCACCAGATCCTGGCCCATCTAGCTCCTGCTCCGATGATGACCAATCCGACACCAGAGCTCTTCCCAACCATGCCGATCGAGGAAGAGTGGAACGATCCCTGGAATCAGTGAAGTCTGACATGCCAGGATGTGACTTGGCTTTGGCCGCTGGGGAAATTGACTCATTCTGTGAATCCATCCCCAATCAAGAAAGAGCCATGTTCTGGAAATGGGTACGCATCATCGAATCCGAATTGGAAACAGTTGCACAACAGACCCCACATGCTGGATACCACATAAATTTACTTGAAGTGTTTTGTAGCAGTGAAAGCAACTTGACACATCAGGTGAACATGCTTGGGGGTAAAGCCATGAGATTCGGAATCGACCAAGGAGATCTTCACACGCATGAAGGGCGAGTGAGCTTGTTCAAGTTGCTGTGCCGCTTCCGACCAGAGCATGTTTGGGCAAGTCCAGTGTGTAAACCATGGTCAAGATGGTCTCACTTTAATAGCCAACGGTCATTAGAGTCATGGGACAGAATCCACACTGAACGCCAAGACATGTTGGTTCAGGTAGCTTTATGCTTTGTGCTCAGCCGACACCAAGTCCGGCACCAACGGCATATGCATTGGGAACAACCCAAAGGATCGGCCATGATGACCCTTCCATACCTGCAAGAAATATATCAATACATGAAGCCAGCCAAACCCGACTTGTGTCAGGCAGGTGATCTTAGAGACCCCGAAAATCATCACCACATGAGAAAGGGACTTAACATCACCACGTCATCTCAAAGAATGTTTGACGAGCTTGACCCGTTGAAATGCCCTGGAGATCATGTTCACCAGCCGATCGAGGGAAGCACCCATGCAGATGGACAGCCAATAGCCCGCTCTGCTTTCAGTGAAGTTTACCCAAGACGGTTCGCACGAAGAGTGGCCAAAACCATGCTTAAGAAAAGCTTCCCCAAAGAGAAACCCATCGGAATGATTGCCGATCCTGCACTCGCATTGTTTGATGCCATTTGTGCTTTGAGCGACCGTCCAGCCAAGCGTTTTCGTGTGGCCAGTTCCAGGTCAAACAAGACCAAAGCTGCAGACCGAGACCCTGATGCGAGCAAGAAGCTCAAGAGAGCCAAAACCGATGAATCAAATCCCATACCACATGCCAATCCCAACGAAGATGAACAAAAGACCATTGAACTCATCATGTCACAAATTGAACCCATACTTCCACGTGTTGGCAAGAGAACCATTGATCAACCAAAATTCCAACAAATGTTACAATTTCTTTTTCCCTCCAAAGAAATCAAAAGGATTGTAGCACGCAAGGGAACTGAAAGAACTATGGGTCCTCCAGCAGACCTCAACAACCGAGAGGCTCCATTCCGAAGATCAATAATGAAACTCAGAAGCAATGGAAAAGTAATCATGGATTCAGAATGGGAAAGATATGACACTCTCTCCAATCGCCAGACAATACGGAAGCCGCATCCGTGCCGGGTCAATATAACGGTGTTTGCAGCCGATCTTCCAAATGCACCCGAGAAGCAAGAGCCGTCACCGCCCGGTGCTGAGCTGTCACCATCTCGGACAGATGGTTGTGATTCCAAAGACCGTCCAAAGGAGAGCCAGACTTTGGAAGAAAGAACTGACGTAATCCCAGAGATGTGCAAAAGTGAAAATCCCAACACTGATTTCCCTAGTGACCATGATTCAAAGGAATCACCTGGCGATGAGGCACATGGTCCCAGATTCTTGGCACTGTCGCGTGAGGAACAAGCCATGCTGAAGAGGGCACACAAGAATCTATGTCACCCTAGCCCAGAGCAATTCAGTGCAGTGCTTCGCATGCAGAAGGTGAGAACAGAGATTCACCAAGCTGTGTTCGACATGAAATGCTCAACATGTGCATCCATGCAAAAACCCAAGATTGCTCGACCGAGCACTATCAAACATGAGCTTGATTTCAATGACAAGGTATTTCTAGATGGAATAACATGGACCAACAAATCCAACAAGACCTTCCATTTTTACCACATCATAGATCAGGCAACGAACTTTCATGTCGCAGCACCAGCACCCAGCCGTTCAGCCGAGAATGCCGTGCGATGTGTGTTGGAGTCGTGGATGCAATGGGCAGGACCACCAAACACTATGGTCACGGACTCAGCCACGGAATTCGTCAGTGAAACCTTCACTCAATTCCAGCAGCGCAATGACATCAAGCCAACGACCATAGCTCCTCACGCTCACTGGCAGAATGGCAGATGTGAAAGGCACGGTGATATTCTTCAGAACATGCTCAATAAACTGGATAAAGAATCACCAATAGAGACTTATGAAGACCTCCAACAGGCATTAGCTCAAAGTATTCATGCCAAGAATACGCTAAGCATACGCAGAGGTTTTTCACCAGAAATTTTGGTGTTTGGAAAAAGTTCACGACTTCCAGGTTCATTGAGCAGCACAACTGGGGAATCATCCCTTGCAAGCGCTGATCGCGATGATGGCCTTGGAATTGATTTCCGTAAGAGCCTGGCCTTAAGAGAAAGGGCCAGAGTAGCGTTCCACCAGGCAGACAATGATTTTGCTTTAAGAAGGGCCAGCTTGCGCAGATCCCGTCCTTCCCGAAATGCGTATCAGGCTGGTGAATGGATCATGATGTGGCAACCAACCCAACAGGGAGGCCATTGGTTTGGACCTTTAAAGGTGGTAACCCAGGAAGGGGACTATTCCATATGGGCAACCCAAGGGGGAAAACTCTTTCGAAGGGCTTTGGAACACATCAGACCCGTGTGCTCCCAAGAAGCACATCAGCTGCCTGCCGAGGAAGACACAGCCAACATGCCATTTTCCACAGACAGTGCAAACCCACATGAAGTACCAATCCAAGAAGAAATTCCCAATGATAACCATGAACTTAATAATCCCATCAATAATAACCCCAATAACATCATCAATCAAGAACCATCAGAAAATGCCAGTCAATCACAAGATCAACCAGACACTGAACCCGAAATCATCACACCACCAGGATCCATAACCATGGAAGGAACGAATGACCCTGCAATTAACACTCCCATTCCAGACATCAACGATGATGATGACAGCCTTATCACCACCCACCTACTGTGCTGTGAAGATGATGTGATGTATGTTGATCCAACAGACACACCATGTGCATGGCGCTGTGAGTTGGAGCTTCCGAGCCATCTGCAAAAGCAGCATGTACAGAGCTGGACAGCCGAGGACATCCTGATGGCCACCACGGAAAAGAAACAAAGAACTGAGGTGAAACTGTCTCTCCTAAGTCCCGAGGAGCAAAATGCCTTCAGAGATGCCAAAGAGACAGAAATTCAAAATTGGTTAAAGACTGGGACAGTATCCAAAATTTTACGCAATCAGTTGGCCCCAGAACAAATCCTTAGATGCTGCTGGATTTTAGTATGGAAACCGCTAGAGGGGATAAATGAAAAAGATACTCATGTCTCAAAATTACCCACCCACAAACCTAAGGCGCGACTTGTGGTATTGGGTTACTTAGACCCAAAGATCACCGAAGTTCCCAGAGACAGTCCTACCTTGGGACGCCAATCAAAGATGCTCCTGCTGCAGCTCATAGCATCACAAGGATGGAGCCTTGGATCATTTGACATTCGTGCCGCGTTTTTGCAAGGCAAACCGCAACAGGACAGAGTGATTGGAATTGAGCCAGTGGCCGAACTCAGTAAGGCCATGCACTTGAAGCCAGATGAAATATGCAAACTAGATAAGTCAGCCTATGGCCTGATAGATGCTCCTTATCTTTGGTTTCGGACGTTACAAGAAGAACTCATACATCTGGGTTTCATTCCATCACCTTTTGATCCTTGCGTGTTTTTAATGCGAAATCCCAAGAGTCAGCGATTGTCAGGGGTCCTGGGAATCCATGTCGATGATGGCATACATGGGGGAGACCAGTATTTTCATCAACAAATCAGCAAGTTGGAAGCCAAGTATCCTTTCGGAGCCAAAAAGTCAAGAAATTTCACTTTCACTGGAATAGAACTTCAACAACACCCAGACAATAGCATCGAACTTTCACAGTCAAAATACATTCGCAATATCAATTCAATAACTCTCACTTCCGAACGAAGAGCCGATGAAAATGCCACAGTGTCAGAACCCGAGCGACACCTCCTGCGTGGTCTGATTGGATCCCTACAAAATGCTGCAGTACATACGAGACCCGACCTGTCCAGTTCTTTGAGTCAACTACAGTCCCAAGTCAATTCTGCAACAGTTTCAACATTAATAGCAGCCAATAAGACCCTTCACATTGCCAAGAATCATCATGAAGTAACCATCAAAATCAAGCCAATCAATCCCAAAGACCTGCGATTCCTAGCGTTCTCAGATGCGTCCTTTGCGTCCAAAGCCAAACCTGAATCACACGCTGGTATGATCATCATGGCCACACATAAGGATATCACCAACAATCAGACTTGTCAGGTGAGCCCTTTATCGTGGGGAACCAAGAAGATACAAAGGGTGGTCACCAGTACCCTCTCAGCGGAAACTTCAGCGTTATCATCAACTTTGGATCAATTAACGTGGATGAGATTGTACTGGGCTTGGTTTTTCGATCAAACTCTAAAGTGGCAAAACCCAAGCGAAGTTGACGGTTTACCTCAAGCAATCACCGTACCAACAATCCGAATCGATGAAAAGGACCTGGCCATTACAGACTGCAAGAGCTTATACGACCTGACGACACGGACTGCAGTTCCAAATTGTTCTGAATTCAGAACACAACTCCAAGCACGAGCCATAAAAGATATACTGAAAGAAGGTATTTCACTTCATTGGGTCCATTCAGGTGCACAGTTAGCAGATGCCCTTACAAAGATCATGAATGCTAATTTTTTGCGCGAAACACTCCGAATTGGATCATATTGTCTTCACGACATCAATGCAGTGCTCAAGGATCGTGCAACAGAGAGAAATCGGTTAAAATGGTTGAGATCCACCACGCATGACATGAGCTGAAAGGTCTTAAAAATTTTCAAGTTTTGGGAATGTGAAAGCAGCTCGTTTCCATCTATGTCCATACATGACACTTCCTCCTTTTCCAGCAGGGTTCCAGAGAAGCCACGCTGCAGGGTGTTGCAGGCCGTGGGCTCAAATAGCCCCTTTTGCAAGGACGTGAGGTGGGTGGGAAATACGCCTTGGAGCCATAAGTTTCTGGCCTGGCTGCGTTCAGCCTTAGCTTAGCAAGAGGGCTTGCTACTTGGTGCATCGAGATCCAAAAGGCTGCGCGTCCGCAGCATTCAGTTGGTGGAGGGGCATTCACCTGTGACTGTGGCAGTCAGAACCGCTAACCAATCACAATTGTATTATATATGTATATGTACAGATATAGACATACATATACAGAGCTTGGGCTGTGTCCTTAGCCAATTGTAAATGCTAAGCCACTCAGCGTGCCAGAGCCTCCAGCATATCACCACAGAGATGGACAATTCACCATTTGGACCCTCTGGTAACTTAACATAGCTATGGATAATATCTAAATCATCAATAAATGACAATCCCGAGAAATGGATAGGGTGAACATGCTGCACACATATTAGATATATTAATTGTTATATATTGCATATTACCTGTTATATATAGAGTTACTACTATTGAGGTGTTTCTCAGACTTGCAATATCCCTTCTCACGATTGGTTTCCCGATTAAAGATGACACATGTCGGACACCCCCGCCACAAGCTGATTCTCAAAGGTAAAAAGTCAGGGAAGTCTCCGAATGATACTTCTATGGCCAAAGCCAAAGCGATTCTCCATTCAACATCCATTATAATGTGGGTAAAACAATATATAAATAGGTTGTAAAAACCATTCCCAAACGGGTGGTTTACGGCATTGGTTTACCCACATAAAACAGCCGCTATTCTCTTCATTTCTCGGATCAGAGTCCTGCAAAGGTGGAGACCCTGCTGGGAAATCCCGCCAAAGCCGCGGCCAAGTTGGGCTGGAAGCCCGAAATTTCCTTCAAGGACACGTGGGTGCTGTCAGACGGTGGCTTTCGTTGTGAAGATGCTGAGGGGGTGCAAAGTTCAGTAACATAGGGTTTCTCATAGATACATCGAAGTAGTATGAAGTAGTTTTAAAAGTTTTAACTAGGTACTAGTTAAGTTGAGTTCAGTAAGTTACAACATGTCATAGCTGTTGGCTTTGGTGTTAGCTATATCGACCTAGTCAGATTGATGGGTGAAACTAAACCAACATCTCCATAGCTGGGGAGGGCACCACCTCGCGCAGATGGTATGACTCAAAATGATTGGAACCCACATGATGTTTACTCTCTGGTAATCTAACATGTAGAACATTGGCCCCATTCAGTTCGATGATTTACCTATGACACATATTTACCAATGGTGATTTTCCATAGCTATGTTAAAATACCAGAGTTTTTTTTTGGGGGGGTATATATATATATATGTATATATATATATATATGAGAGGGGCCTAGACGATATGCCACCCGGGGGTTCATGTCAAACACACATCAGCCGACAGCCGCAGAATCTAACCGCTGTCTGGCTCAAGACGACAGCCCCTACTTGCGAAGTGAAAAGATCGCCCGCTATCGCTGCTGCTCTGGATCGGGGAACTACTTGAACTAATTGACCATAAAGAACCAGGGTTACAACATCAGGCAAGGGACAGGAGTCCACTCACAGGTTATCAGCCGTACGCTCTGCCCAGGGCGTACGGTGGTCCCATAACATTGAAGAGCCCTACGGTGAGGTGTCGGTCAAAGGCATCTACCTGAGTGGTTGACCTCCCCACTCCGGTGGGCGGAACGACTATAGGCTCGTTCATTGACAAAGGCATCCTGCTCCACTTGACCTATACTACCAGTCGTTGGGCTGTGGTAAACGGAAGTGATTTGCAGAGACGCAGAAACAATGTCCCAACAACCCCAATCGAGCAGCAATGAGACGAACTTTTCTTTTGCACCCGCGGTTCCGGCTCAAGCGATTAAGCCGGGATCTGTGGAGAGCGGGGGTGGCGGTACCGTCTCGTATCGAGCGCCTGGAAGTGGAGCATCCTCAAATAGCTTCACGATGCTCAGTCATGCTGGTTCCTACGGAGGAAGTGCCAAAAGATCGACGTCAGCAAGGTCGCATCGCACTGGAAGATCCCCTACTGCTGCTATCAAAGACGCAAGTGGCCATGGTCCGTCGGACGCGGCCACGCGTGAGGATGAGGCGTGTCGGTCTGCCACCTCATCCAAACGCAAGTCGTCTGGTAGTATCACAAGGAACGAAAGCGAGGCGCGACTACGATGTCAACTACAACACAGCAACGACAAGCTGGAAAGAAGTGAGCAAGCAAGGACTGAACTAGAAAACAGATTAAACTTGTATCAAGATGCTCTTATTCATCGTGATCAGCTGATCAACAGGTGATCGGAAACCTGCGTGTGAGTCCGCCGCCAGGGAGTACGTGATCCTGCCCAATATACCGGTTTAGACAAAAAAACTACAATAGATTAAAAATTATGTATTAGACAGAATTTTGTATATAAGATATTTTTAAAGATATCTATTTTAGACAGTTTGGAATTGCCCAAAAAGACTTTTTTTTGCTAACTATTTTGTAAATAGATATCTATTTTAGATTGTTGTTACAAACAATAATCGAAGGAAGTTTAGAAGTCAAACTTCCGACAATATGGACAGATGAAAAGCAGAGCAGGGAAGAGGCAGAGAGAAGAGAACGATTAGAAGAGAGAAGATCAGAGAAGAGAAAGAATCAGAAGAAAGAAGATGCAGATGCGCGAAAAGGTAGGAAAGTCGCGAAACACTGTGTTTTGCGGAGCCCGCTGGCCAGATGAGAGATAAACAATTGCACGCCGTTGTGGCGCGAAGCACATTTGCAAGTCAAAATGCACAAAGCACACCATGTACGGACCACTTTTGCAGGTTCAGATGTCCAAAAAGTGCACGCTGTTGTGGCGCGAAGCACATTTCGAAGTCAAAATGTTCAAAACACCAGGGTTTCGGACCACTTTTGGAGGTTCAGATGTCGCTTCGCTTCACTACACTACATTATTCTACACTCCACTACACTGCACTGCAATACACTACAGTACATTACACAACACTACAACTACAACTACACAATTACACTCCACTACACTCCACTACACTCCACTACACTCCACTACACTAAATCACACTACACTACACTACATTACACTACACTATACTCCACTACACTACACTACATTACACTCCACTACACTACCTTCCACTACACTTCACTACATTACACTACACTCCACTACACTACAACTACAACTACACAACTACACTCCATTACAATACATTCCACTACACTAAATTACAATACACTACACTACATTACACTACACTACACTCCACTACACTACACTACATTCCACTACACTACACTACCTTCCACTACACTTCACTACATTGCACTAAACTACATTCCACTACACTACAACTACAACTACGAATACACAACTACACTCCACTACACTCCACTACATTGCACTAAACTACATTCCACTACACTACAACTACAACTGCGAATACACAACTACACTCCACTACACTACACCACATTACACTACACTACATTACACTGAATGACACTGCACCACAGATAGACAGGTCGACAGATAGACAGATAGATAGATGGATGGATGGATGGATGGATAGACAGGTAGACAGCTAGACAGATAGACAGATGAAAGAGAGAGAGAGAGATAGATTAGATAGACAGACAGACAGACAGACAGACAGATAGATAGATAGATAGATAGAAAAGGTAGATAAGATAGATAAGATAGATAAGATAGATAAGATAGATAAGATAGATAAGATAGATAAGATAGATAAGATAGATAAGATAGATAAGATAGATAAGATAGATAAGATAGATAAGATAGATAGATAAGATAGATAGATAGATAGATAGATAGATAGATAGGTAGATAGGTAGATAGATAGATAGGTAGGTAGATAGGTAGATAGGTAGATAGGTAGATAGGTAGATAGGCAGATAGGTCGATAGGTCGATAGGTAGATAGGTAGATAGGTAGATAGTCAGAGAAAGAGAGAGAAAGAGAGGAGACCTCAAGCACCTTTCGGTCCATCAGTGGATTCGATCTGCCATCCCTGATTCACAACAACCAATCTCTCCTATAGGTTTCCTATTTTTGAAACTTCCGCCACCGCCTTGCGCTGTACTACTGGCATAGACAAAATCAGATGTTATCTATTTCCTAGAAAACTGTCGAAATAGATAACTATAATAGACAAAAATTGCCGAAATAGATATCTATTTTTGCCCGTTAAACTTCGAAGCAACTTCTGGGCAGTCTTTGGGTTTGCCTTTGAAACTTCGAAGTTAACTTCGAAGTTTGACACCAAGGCTATATGTCTATTTTTGTACTTCGCACTTCTACAGCAGCAGCTTTTCGAGGAAACAACTATATATGATCTTTTGAGCAGGCCAGGGCATCCTATATGTCATGCTGTTGTGTGGCGCACTTCAAATGTTATTCCCAAAAGTCATTTCTACAAATAATATGTTAGGACCTGTTAGATTCTCAAACTATCCCTCTCCAAGTATCTATAAAAATCTAATTGTCACACTATATTCTCGTTATAATGCCTTCATGTATTTGTAGAATGCATGATCCCAATATATTACCGTCCCCATCATATATTTCCTTTTGCATTGTTGGCAACGCTAAGCAATCTAAATGTGGCATGTTGTGTCCGCGAGGACCAAAATTTGTCAAGTATCTTTTACAAGGTTTGCTTTTGCCTTTTGCAAAACAGTTTTTGAGTTCACAAATTTTGTTGCGTCCTTTGAGAACACACACATTTTTATATCGAAGTTGTCCCACACAAAATTTGGGGTTACGATCTTTTTGAAAATTCCTTCAAAGTTTTGAAGTTTACTGTAAAGGATTTTCTTCTGTGAATTCACTGTATGAAAGTTTGCAATGGGTTTTATTACTGTGAGATGGAAATTGTTTCTGTGAGTTTACTGTGAGGGTTTACTGTGAGAGTTTACTGTGAGAGTTTACTTCGAGGGTATACTGTGAGAGTTTACTGTGAGAGGTCACTGTGAGAGTTTACAGTGTCAGGGTTTCCTGTGAGAGTTTACTTTGAGGGTTTTCTGTGAGCGTTTACTGTGAGAGTTTACTGTGAGGGTTTACTGTGAGACTGTTTTACTGTGAGAGAGGTCACTGTGAGAGTTTAAAGTGTCAGGGTTTCCTGTGAGAGTTTACTTTGAGGGTTTTCTGTGAGCGTTTACTGTGAGAGTTTACTGTGAGGGTTTACTGTGAGAGTTTACTGTGAGAGAGGTCACTGTGAGAGTTTAAAGTGTCAGGGTTTCCTGTGAGAGTTTACTTTGAGGGTTTTCTGTGAGCGTTTACTGTGAGAGTTTACTGTGAGGGTTTACTGTGAGAGTTTACTGTGAGAGAGGTCACTGTGAGAGTTTACAGTGTCAGGGTTTCCTGTGAGAGTTTACTTTGAGGGTTTTCTGTGAGCGTTTACTGTGAGAGTTTACTGTGAGGGTTTACTGTGAGAGTTTACTGTGAGAGAGGTCACTGTGAGAGTTTAAAGTGTCAGGGTTTCCTGTGAGAGTTTACTTGTTTTCTGTGAGCGTTTACTGTGAGAGTTTACTGTGAGGGTTTACTGTGAGAGTTTACTGTGAGAGAGGTCACTGTGAGAGTTTAAAGTGTCAGGGTTTCCTGTGAGAGTTTACTTGTTTTCTGTGAGCGTTTACTGTGAGAGTTTACTGTGAGGGTTTACTGTGAGAGTTTACTGTGAGAGAGGTCACTGTGAGAGTTTAAAGTGTCAGGGTTTCCTGTGAGAGTTTACTTTGAGGGTTTTCTGTGAGCGTTTACTTTGAGAGTTTACTGTGAGGGTTTACTGTGAGAGTTTACTGTGAGAGAGGCCACTGTGAGAGTTTACAGTGTCAGGGTTTCCTGTGAGAGTTTACT